AGAACTCAATGCGGCGTACCTTGCAGCACAAGAAGCCTATCGCAGCAACGTTCATGCAGCACTTTGTAGCAAAAGCTACTACGGTGTCTTGTCAAAGTTTTCTCCTTCGTGCTTGGTAGGAGGTACCGTGATTCCGCACAAGTCGGATGAGAACGATGCCCTCGTGGAGTTTCAGAGCTGCTTGGGTGGCCTCGACCCTGACTTGTTCGGTAACAGCTACCGTGATCGCTTTTATGCGGCGAAATTGAACCACGCTGACACGGCGTTCCTGACACACGATAGTTTTTTCAGGGATTCTCAGAAACCATTCAAATGGTTCGAATGTTTGCTGTAAGCCGATAATTGAACTTCATTCACGGTTACGTCCTAATTGCTCTACGATAGAATATTGCAATGATTATTATTGACCACCTTTAATGTTCAATAAATGGTACATCATACAAAGCAACTTTAATATTACCAGCTGTATACTATTGGTGATATCGTTCCCACTAAAATAGTTTAAAAGTTTATTATTGGTGCCGAGCATATTGGAATAATTACTACTGCCATGAAAACTCTGTGATACAATTCTATACGGTATTAGGTGTTCTCAATTGTGCAGCAGCAAGTCATTTTTTTTACGGAAATGTTAAGTCCATGCGCCGAGTGTGACGGGGTCACACAGCACCTTGCGCTGAGGAAGTAGGCTTCCTAGAGTATACAAACTCTAAGTGAACGACTGTTCACGTGTTCCGGACCAAGTACTCACTTGAGGGTACGATTAAGACTGATTTGTATTTATAGGTAACTTAACTTGGTTTCCAATACAAACTATAAGTAACCTCTATTAAAGCTAAATAGATATGCAATGATTGGCTCCTGGTATCATGTACCACATATTACAAGAGTTACTGGTCACTCTTCATGTAACTTGGGTACGCTGGGTACGTCCCCCGTTGCATCCTCCCCCACTTAGATTCGGTTTACCGACCAATCACAAAAGGGAGACAGAATCACAAACTCTCATTCTCCGTGTCGAAAGGGTTCCAAAAGCCGCG